CACTGGGCATAACCAGAATTGGATAAAGACCTGCAAATAAAATAAAGTTGAGAAAAATTTATTTGGCACCGACTATGTGGGAGGCATTGTACCAGAGACTTTAGAAACCCTAGGATAGCCTGGAAAGACAACTTCAGATTAGTGAAAAGACACAGAGAGCACAGACATGATTTTAATTTATAGGGTTGGAAAGGTACAAGGCAATAAAACAAGACACCTGTTGTCCTGCATTTATGTTAAAGGTTTCACCTTTTTAAAAAATAATCAGAAACACATAATCATTATTCTTGACATAAATTACACTTTAGATTGGGGTGGAAATCATGTTTTAAGAATAGGAAGGGAAGGAAAAGTAAAACCAACTGCAGGTAATTTTTCAAGGGGAAACAACAGCAATATGAAGATATATGGGCGTCAGACCCACTGGTAGAGGAAGGAGGCTGTGCTCTCTTACCTCTTATGGTGTCGCTGCTGTGACCTCCACCATTTGAAATGCTTTGATTCCACCTTGCCCAAGGGACCCAAGAGCACTGGGAAAAGGCATGAAGGATGCCTATGCCTGACCTCACCTTTACATTGTCTAATGACTGAAGGTATAAATCAGCTTTCCCCTTGAAGACCTGAGTGTCAGAAGCTCATGTGAAATGCTGGAAATATTAAATGATGTCCCTGAGGGTTTTATTGTTACTCAGTTTTCTCCTGTAACTGGGAGAGCAGTTCACATGAAGGATACTTTCCCTCAGGATCTCAATTTATATACAAAATGAAGTATGAAACTCCAACTTCTTGCCACTTTGGAAAGAAAATAAACAATTAGTGGAGGCTACACTTAGCCCCTGTTTGGTTTTGTTCCAATGATCTCTCTGCCATTTCTGGAAAACAGTTCACATAAACAAAGGGATGAGAATACCTCATTACAAATCCTTATTTCCAGTGTAATAAACCTGGGATGGTTGAAAAATCTCCACAGACAATTCAATATGGTCTTGTAATTGGGAAAGACAAAAGCTCTTCCTTTAATCCTATTTAGCAGAGAGACTATGCTAATAATTAGAACTGAGGATCAAGGGTCCTATTTCTAGTTCATCATTGGCATCTTGGGCTGTATATGAACATCCTACCTAGATTCTTTTTGTAAGATTATTTAAATCTATGGACTCTCAAATCTCCTGATATACTTTTTTAAAAAAGATTTATTTATTTATGCATACAAGAGCTGGGATATAGGCCAGAGATGTGGGGGGGGGGGTGAGAGGATTCACCAGAGACAGAGTGGGGTACAGAACAGGCAGACTGACTGAAATACACTGCTGAGGGGAACAGTGGGTGAGACGGGAGAGATCTGCTGCACCATGTGGGTCGCTCCCTGGTCAGCTGGGGATTGAACTCGTGCTGCAGAGGCTACAGATTGCTTCGTAGTGCAGTGCTTAAACCCTTGCGCCACCAGGGAGGCCCCTCCTGATATACTTTTGACTCATTTATTCTCACTATCACCTCTGCAATAAAAATAATTATCTGTAATAAGAAAAGTGATCATGGGGCCTCCCTAGTAGCCAAGTCTCAGTGCTATCACTGCTATGACCGGAATTCGATCCCTGGACAGGGCGCTAATCCACACGGCACAGCAGACCTCTCCTATCTTGCCTGCTGCTCCCCTCAGCAGTGTATTTCAGCAGATCCACCTGTTCTGCTCCCCACTCAGTCTCTGGTGAATCCTCTAACCCTCCCACACTTCTGGCCTACACCCTAGTTCTTCTATGTAAAAACAAAAAAAGCAATCACTTTTCTCTTGATGATGAAGTGACTTGCTCAAATCTCCCAGTTAGTAAGTGGACATGGCAAGGAGAGGAGTAAAGAAACCTCACAACAGTCTTTAGCATTCATCTCTTGGCATCTCTCAATCTTTCCCCTTTACTCTCCATCAACCCTATGAAGTATTGCTGCACAAAGAGCATAGCCCCTATTGTAGAAATAGTACTAATATCTGTATGAGCTTTAACCACGTTAGAGCACTTTCAAACCTCTGATTTAGTTCGATTTTTATAATAGTCCTATGAGGTAGGGATTTACAGACTCCAAAATGAGGGGATAAAAGTGAAAAAGAAAGAGCAATTGCGAAGAAAAGCCAGCAAAATATTAAGGATTACTTAAGACATGTAGAATCTTAATTACACCAGGTTTGTAAAAGATGGCTTGATGTATGAAAATATTGATTATCCTGGCTGCTTTTCTGCTGTAATAGGGGACTGATCTCATAATGACCCTTGGCAATGTGTTCTAAGATCATATTCCAGCATGAAAGGATATTCAGAATAGTGTAATGTACTATTTTAACACAAGTTCTCTTGTCATATAACTGTGGCTGAATTAGAGATGAGTGACATGGCTTCTCTAGGGAACAAGAAAAACTGCCAGGGCTGAGGGTGATTCCAAACAGCCTACTAGGAAAAACAAAGACACATAGCCACAGGCTCTTTTTCACCCTGAAGCCTAATCTTCTGAAGCAGGCACAGTGAAACAAAAAAAATTTTTTTTGTAGCACTAAGTAGAATTGCTGCCGCTTTAAATTACACATGTTTAAAGGAATTGGTATCATATTGGTATCCAAAATATCGTGTCAACCAACTTCCTTAAATGCTAAAATTCTACCATGAGCAGCACATTCAAATGCCTGTGGGAGAGGTAACGCGTTAAGCCAGGTATTCTCACCCATGCTTAGTAACAGTGAGCACAGATCATTGGGAAGGGGTGCTGCAGAGTCCCAGCTCTCCCAGGACAAGGCACAGCCATTTGGAAGCACGCAGAAGGCCACCGAGCAGAAGGCTGTCTAGCAGTGACCCGTCCATGAGGTACCTGTGGTTGACAGTATTGCACTGAGCCATTACCAGTCATTAGCACCCGCAGGCAGTGGTTTTTAACTTTGTCTGCTCATCAGAATCACCTGCCAATCTTTTAAAAAAATACCTGGCTTGCAGCCAAGATATGCTGGATCAGAATGACCTGGGAGTGGAGCTGGGAAACGGAACTCCCAAATGAATTTGCATGTTAGGTCCTCATCAACCTGATGTCTTTGCTGGCGGATCTTGGAGAGGTGGCTCCCAGAATACCTCCTACCAGAACAGCTTGCAAGAGAGGTGCCATAAGGAACAAAGTAAACCAAGGGGACCCGGTGATGAGCCAAGATAACTTGTCCATATCACAATCTCGACAAACTACCCAAGGGATTATTACCAAGATTTATAGAAGCATCACTAATCTATGAAAGTTTGGATTTCCGCATAGCCCCATGTAAGAAACCCCTGAGGAATTATCTATGTCTATATAGTTGGGTTTATTTCATCCTTTCAAATGGCTGAAAAGATGACTGTAGTTTTTTTCATTACTGCAGCATCTTTTCCTATCTCATTTTTTTATAGTCACCTCCCTAAATCTTACTCTACTCAGCTTGCCCTTGGTTATTCCCCAAAGGGAGTCCTTACCAGGTGAAATGGTTAGGATTAGTTTGGTCAGTATGACAGAAAATCCCAAATAATAGAGGCCTCAACAAAACAGAGGCAGACTTCTGCATCATCTCTATCACCTTATTCCTCATGGTCCAAGCTGCTCCAGCTCTCACTAGCAGGAAAGGGGCAATGAAGAGAGAATTACCCTCCTCCCATGCGTTGAATGACATCTGTGTATGAGCTTGGAGGTTGACAAATTCCTTTTACTTTCTGCTGGCCAGAACTTAGATCGCAATAGTCAGATCTGGTTGCCAGGGAGTTCAGGAGCAGGGAGTTGTAGGCAGCTATAAGCCCACCTAAAGATGCAGAACATGGGGAGAATAAACACTGGGGACTAGCTAGCAGTCTCAGGTTACCAGGAATTGTGCATATAGCTAAAAAAAAAGTCCTGGTGGTCACCTTATGAACCTAGAATATCCTACCGGAAAGAAAACAAAAGAGTGTGGTAAGAGACGACTGCTTAAGTCCAGGTGTTGGGTAATTTATGGTGATTAGAGGAAAGTGTTTTCCACTAATGAAGAGTGAGAATTTGTTGAAAGTAGTTACTGCAGCCCAGGAATCATAACAGAGTCCTCAAATAAATGAAGTGTTCAGTTTGGCTTTTGAAAGCTTATGTTTCCTCTTGGGATTATGTGACTCAAAGTCCACCTCTTGCCTAATGAAAGCCTGGAATGTGGGCCTTCTTGCCTGATGGAGTCAACTTCTGTGTCTGTCAGGAGCAGAACAGCACACCAGGCCTTGGACTCTAGCTGGTTGTTACAAGGCTCACGAGGGGAAATGCCCCTACTAACTTCACCTACAGATTCTGCTCAATGAAAGAGTTTTTAAAAAAGATTCAGCTCAATGAAAAGGTGTACTGTCCCCGGACCCTAAGAGCTCCGAGTGCATGACTTCTAGGTTATAGACATGTCAGCGGCAGATCTGAGAGTATAACCAGAACAAAGTTGGTCTAGAAGCCTGTGGTCCAAAATTTAGGAAATCTGTTAAACTCTGTAGCTGTGTCTGGATTGCTTCATTGACTAGGATGGTTTTAAAAGTAAAACACAGCTTCATTTCCCATCTGCTCTCCTTAAATCATTCAATAGATTTGTTTCCTTGCTTTGAGTTTCTCATTTGTCCAACTGATTGAATTGTAAGGCCGGTTAGCTCAGTTAGATAATGAGACCAAGGTGCTAATGAGACCAAGGTCACAGGTTTTATCCCTAGGTCACTGGGGTGTGGGGTAGTACTCTGCTCCATGTCCACTTGATGGCTCTCTAGCCCTGGCTAGCTGTTCTGAAAGAATGTGTGCTTTCAAAGCTGTACTGTCGGAAAAACCCTGCAAAGGCTCATCCAGTTGATGGACCAGAGATATCTCTGCATACAGAGGAACACTAGGTAGTTTGGCCATGAGCTGGCTCCTCCAACAATCAGCCAGAGTTCCAGGAGACCATGACCTAGATGCATGGGGATGGAATTGTGACATCAGGAATGGAAAAAGAAAGCTAGAGTGGCAAGAGCACTGTCATACTCATAGGCAAGGGCTCAAAATTCCTCACTTCCTGCTCTGTGCTTGATCCAGACACCACATTCTATCTCCTATTTCCAACCCAGCTCAGTGCCTCCCACCCTGTGGCGAGCTGTCACGTGATGGAATAAAATCATGTCCAAGGTAGGACTAAACTTGCCACTGCTTTTGCTCGCTCTGGATAGAAACGTCATTTCTCACCACAGGAAGACTTTTCCCCCTCTTATCAAAAAATCTGTCAGTCTGTCCACACAACCTGGAGAACAAATGTGCTTTTTATCCCTCTGTGAACAAACGAGACTCAGCACCTGCACGGAGCTTGAGGGCGGGGCTGGCCCTCACCCTGACTCCCAGCCGGCTGCTGCTCTTGGGGAGAGAAAGTAAAATGATTGATTCAACATCTTAATTAAGATAAACAAACAAAGAGGAACATCAAATAATGGACCTGACAGTTTGAAACAAACTGAAAGCAAAGCTTAGCATTTCATAAAAGAAGACGCGTTTGATGTGAGGATGGCAGTTTAATAATTTGTAAATATCACTGGCTTGGTATTATAGCTAATCCAAATATTTTCATTTCTCATCATAAGTTATCCTCTGCTGATGGTTTGTCCTCTTCAACTCACAGCTCTCACCCTGGAGCCTTCAACAGGGATAGAGAGGAGAGGAAGACAAAGGGTCATAGGCTTTCTGTGGAATGCGGGTTACATCGTCCACTTCCTTTCTACTTTCTGATCCAAATATTCCCTGGAAAACACCACCGACCAGCCCAAAGGATTTATGGCCCTTTTCTTTACGTCCCCTACAAATTATCAAAAATTAATCATCCTAGCTTTCCATTAGTTTCTGATTGGCTTCCTAATTAAGATATTCTGAGTTTTCCCTTTGTTCTTAAAATATAAAGAAATGGGGGGATGGAACAATGGTACTAACTATAATGTCCCTGCAATGCTCTTTTGATATCATAACAAAATAGTCAGCTATAGGTCTATACCAAAAAAGCTGTTTTATTGCCCTACTGCCCTACAAGGAAGGGGAGCTGGGGGATAAGAATGTCCTTGTGAATACTCAATTTTCAACCAAAACACCCTCGGGTGGGTGTGGAGGATAAGCAGGAAGTGGTGATGACAATGATAAAAATAGGTTGGCCAGAGCATTGTGATTTAGCTCTTTTAAAAAAATTAAGAGAAATAGTAGGCAATTTTACCAATTTATCGAACTTCCAAGAGTGCAAGTCAGAGCATAGGTCTGTGAATGTGGAGTGGAAGGAACACCTTTGGGCAGACAGAGGCATTGGGCTGTTTTTAAAGGCAGGTAAAAGGCAAGAGGGAGGATGCAGTTCCAGCCGAGCCACCTGCTCTCAGATGTACATCGACTTTCTAGCCATGACAACCCTCTCGCTCCCCGCTCTGGCTCATTCTTTTTCTGACTGTACCCAGTATTTTGCTCTCAGGACTTTCTAGCCATGGTTTTGCCATTGGTTTTTTAGCAGGTTTTTTTTTTTTTTTTTTGGTACTGCTCTCAGCTGATACCAGGGCAGGCAGGAGACCACACTGGGCGGGTGTGGGCAGGGGCCCACAGAGGGAGACTGCAGTTCTGAGGATTCTCCACAGGGAAGCAGTATGAGATCAGGGTTTAGATAGAGGGAAGCCATAGGAGATCAGGGTGTAGATAGATGTGGCCCCAGTTCCACCAGCTTTCCCTGATTCTGATTTGAGACAGTTCTCTTTTCCTTCCACTGCGTACAGTCAGTACTCACAGGGCACACTCACCTCTCAGGAGAGCCCCCCTAAAACTGACCTCAGCCTTTACATAGACCTTCACTCCTAGTACTGTTCTTTGCATTTGAACCACTGGCTTCCAGAATATTGCTTGTCTATTCCATCTCTGGCATGTACATTATTATGAGGGCTCAGGATACCCTCCTTTCTGACATGGACTCATTTTATGGTAGTGCCACAGAGAGGAAACCTGCAGAAGGGACCTTAGTAACCCATCAAGCATGTTTTTTCCTTGGCAGCATGAATTCTGGCAACCTCTCAATGGTTGGATAACTCTTAACATTTCTCAAAAACGAATCAGTTCTGTCTTTGACACTTTGAAGAAAATGGTTCCAGCAACAACTTGATTTTGTTTGAGTTATAGGAAGCAATCAATGTTATGGACAAAATTCCAAATAGAGTTTACCACTAGGTTCTATCTCGACAATGTCCTATGGCATATTGCACAATAACAGTTACGCCACTACTTATCTCCCTTGTTTATAAACTAGAAATAGCATCCTCTACACTTCAGATAAGCCTTAGGAACTATGTAGTCGGTGTGGATTCTGCACAAAGTACCACCGTGAAAATTCTTAAGGTAGAAAATTTGGGCCTTTCTTTTGTCAGATATTCTCTAAAATACATTTTACCTTAGTCAATGCAGTAAAATTTGACAAGATGGCAAGTATGACTATAGCAGATTTAAAAGATTCTAAGAAACTTAAACCTTGAAAATTCTTGTAATAAGGTAATCAGAAATTGTATTTTCAGCACTTCACAAGTGGAAAGAAGAAAGAACTGAGGTCTAGGCCTCCTAAAATATATCTCAGGTAGCCTATTTCACATCACACATTTTATTCCTTTATCTGAAATATTTTAGAACTTAAATGTTTTTGCCAAGTTTGAGAAGGGTGTGTGGTATTAACTTCTTCACACCAATGACATTTTTTCTCTTCATAGTCTATTCAAACCTTTTTCAGGCTCCCTAAATCTTTTACCTTTCTTCTAGGGGTGATTAATAAAAAGCAAGCAAGAAGCAAAGAAGACAAAGAGAAGCCACCTGGCCTCTCAGTGGTCTCCCAGGTGACTCTGCCTTCCAGACAAGTTGATGCAAAGGTGAGTATGTTCCAAATGGATCTCTACTAGGACTGCTCTCCAGTTGGATCAGCTGCAGCAGTTCCAGATAAAACCTGCAATTGTCCAGTTTCATCCCTTGGGACATAAATTGGGTAGAGACTAATACACAGATAATCAAAATAGAGAACAAATAAAAGATTGTCTTTCCTGTCTTCCATCTCCAAAAGATAAGTAAACTGACTAGCAGTGGGAAGAGAGCTATCATACTACCAGGGTATTTAATTTCTCACAGAATGCAATGGCATGCAGTTATTGGGAGAGACTCCATGCTCTTGTTTCTGACCAAACACAACTAGAGATTTTTAGAAGTGTCAGGCGATGTTCAAATGAGTTTTAATGCCAAGGTTAGATGATGTTGCTAGGGCCTGTCTCACCCATTATTTTGTGTCTGTCTAGAAAAGGTTAGGCAAAGGTAAGAGAGATATGGAGCCCATTGAAAACATATCGTATCAAAGGGAAACTTGTTAAAGAAAGATTTTAACAGCTCAAACTACCTTTGAGGCCAATAAAAGCACCAAAACTGATTATTAGACCATGATCTGAGGTTAGAAAAAGGACGCTGGACCTGACTGATTAGAGAGATATTGGAAATAAATAAAATGGTTAAATTATGTGAAACAGAAGGTCACAGAGCAGGAGCATCTTGCAAAGCCATAGGTACACTGGTGACATTTATCACAACAGTAATGAATGCTTTGGGTATGTCTTTTTTTTTTTTTTTGCACGTCTTTTGTATGAGATATTTTTTGATAAACTGATTTCACAGAAGAAGAGGAAGGTAATAAGTGTCATGTTGCGTTAATACACAGGCTCTCTACCTTTGGGATCAAATTTGGTGCAGGGCACAAGTGAAATGAGTTTGGTGGCCTCAAGCGAGGTTACCACCAATAGCTATCCTTAAACAAAATTACAAATCATTTGCTGGCAGCTGAGATCAGAGACCTGGAAGAGTGTTACAGGTCAGGGGGAAGACTTGGGACCTGGCCATTACCTCCAGAGCCCCTTCTTGGCTTCAGCTCATGCCACCAACCAATGCTTCTCATCCATACACACTGATTTTATGATCTCTCTTTGCCTGCCAATCGCTACATCAATATTACCAATAACATTTCAGTTGGGACTGGATTCAGTTCAAACCTCCAGTTATCTAAGTCTTCATCACTCAGTCAATTCTAATAATAATAATTTCATAGGTACTATGAAAAGGGGTCCGATTTTAAAATGCTACTTGCCCTTAGCAAAATAATGGTGTTTGTGTGTTCCTGTGAATTCTAAATCTAAACATTGTTTGTTCTCTCTCCACTCAGTAAAGGGCTTCTGAGATTCTCTGATGAAAACATGGAGAATTAGAAAACAATGACTGTGTGAATGACAGTTATAGAGATCTCATACTGGAAAGGGCACATTTTATTGTGACTCTGTGTCAAAAGTGTAGTTTCATCAGAGGACAGGAGGCAAAAGAAACAGGCAATCAATACTTGGGCCTCTGATATCTGAACTGAGAAAGAAAATCATTATCCTGTTACTTTTATTGTGGCATGATGCTTGAAATACTGCACCTTGTTTCCATAATAATCCAATATTTTGGGGGTTGCAGATTAAAAATCCCCTCATACTGGTAGCCATGTGAAACCAGAACATAAAGCAGAGAGGGATGTACGTACATACATCTTATGGTGGGAATTTGGAGAAAAGCAAATTGAGAAAGAGAAAAGTTAGCTTTTTGAAAAAACATAATAATCCAATCTAAATGCATACATTTAATTTCTGAGTTTCCAGAATGATTAGTGAGGGGCCTTTGTTTCCAATTTTTGGGCAAAACACAGATTTCCAATAGATAAAATTCCCCTCAATGTCAATGAGGTTACCTAGATGGTATTTACATCTCTGTATTTATTGAAACTTTTGTTCTATTGTTAAGAAATTAAAAGAAGGCAAGATGGGGAGTATATGGATTCTGACACTTGATTTATTTTTTTTTTAGTGAATTTGAATTTTTAAAAAATATTTATTTTTATATATTTATTTTTATATATTTATATATATTTATACAAGAACTGGGGTACAGGCCAGAGGTGGGGGGTGTGAGAGGATTCACCAGAGACAGAGTGGGGAGCAGAACAGGCAGATGTACTGAAATACACTGCTGAGGGGAGCAGCAAGCGAGACAGGAGAGGTCTGCTGCGCCATGTGGGTCAGCAACCTGGGCATGGATGGAACTCAGGCCACAGTGGTGTTAGTACTGAGATTTAACCCCTAGACCACTAGGGAAGCCCCCCGATACTTGATTTTAAAGCTAGTTGTTTCACTGGCAAAAATCTGGTCCTTGAGCTTGAATTTTCTGCTGACAAAAGAAGGGGAATTATCACTTACAATCCTTTTTGAAACTCTTATGTGTCCAGTCTTAAACACTGCATCAATTCTGCCTAACTGCTTCTAATGTGACTCTTGATTGGTTAATATTTTCAAAGTGCTTCAAGACAGCCCTTCTCTTTCTAGATTTTAGCATTCAAGTTAAAACCTTACTTGCCATATATGGACTGTGGGATCATGTCAGTTACATGCATATCACCACATTAAAAAAAAAAGGTAGAATTCAAACTTACTTTATACTTTCACGAGTTGGTTATTTAAATTCTGCTTTTTTCCTCTTTGACTAATTACCCATGAGGTTAGCATTATATAGCTGGAAAGTCATGACTTGCTTTCTAGGCTATCTGCTGCAGCCTCGTGGAGAGTTAAGTGGGTCCTTCATGAACAAGAAAAGGTGATCACAGCTGCACATGGTGTCTCCCAGTCTGTTCTGGTTAGACTCTCCAGCAGCCACAGGTAACAATTCAAAGTCATGCAAATGAAGGCTACTTCTGGCACTTTGGTCCCAAGGTGTGGATGCTCTTGTGACTTGTTGACAAACACACCAGGACAGTAAGGGAAAAGGAGACCTTATCCATCTGGGCAATTGGTTTATTTCAAATGAACAAACTACTACAGCCAGCCACAAGAATTGCTAAAATTAAGAAAAACTGACAATAGCAAGGGTCAGAGAAGATGGGAAGCAACTGGAATTGCCACACATAGTTGAGCTGAACCCTTTGACCCAGCAATTTCTCTCCTAGGCATATGCCCAAAAGAAATGCAATATAATGTGCACTCAAAGACAGGTATAAGGATGTTCACAACAGCATCGCTCATCATATCCCTAAAGCAACCCAAACGTTTAGCCACACGAAGTAAGTGAAATACATTATACAGTGATAAGAAAAAAGGAACTAATGCTACATCCAAAACCATGGATGGTTCTCACAAATACAGTGTTGAAGGAAAGATGCACAGAGTGTATATTGTATGACTCTGCTCACAGAAGCTTAAATACCAGCAGAATAAATCTTGTGCTAGAAGTCAGGCATGAACTTCTGGGGAGAAAATAATTGGGAAGGGGGACAGTGAATAGCTTCTCAGACACCAGGTAATATTCTGTATTTTGAACTGGGTGGGGATTACATGAGTATTTCCACTGCTAAAAAAAAAATCATTAGCTCTATGCTTATGATCTGGGCATTTTCTACATATATTATATACTGTAATAAAAAAGTGAAAAAAAACCCCAACAAACCTATCAATGTAATTTATTAATGCCTTTGTCAACTTCTGAAATACCATGATATAAAGGAAAAATGATAAAGGCAGTTTCTCCTTAAGTGAAGCTTTACTACTGAGTTATATTTAAAAAAAAAATGACAGTTTATAGTTGCTTGTTGATTTTGATTTTTACTTTATTATAATTAGCCTTTTTCCTGGTCCCTTATTTAGGTTTTCTAAATTTCTGCTATGAACGAGATCATCCAGTATTTTTCTTTTTCATTCTGGCTTATTTCCCTGAGCATGATCCCTTTCGGCTCCATCCATGTTGCTGCAAATTGTATGAGTTTATCTTTTTTGATTGCTGAGTAATATTCCATTGTGTATATGTACCACATCTTCTTGATCCAGTCACCTATTTTTGGGCATTTGGGTTGTGGAGGGGAGGAGGGATTAGGATCAAAATAAGGGGGATGGGAATTGTATTGGGACTATAACCAAGATGAAAATGCATACATTGTGCAAAAATGAAAAATGATGTAAAATATATATAGTAAAAAAAGAGACAGAGACATTACATAGGCATGGTTTTTAGAAACCCTGTTTTTTAGCCTGGAACTTGTAAGGGTAAGTAGTGATTTTGTTTATACCTTTGAGTATTGTATAGTACATTCTATCAGAGACTTAATAAGGAGGGTGCTCACCAGCTATTCTGTTTGTGCAGTAAGAGGAAACTGGTTAAAATTAAAACAGGAACAATTTCAGCTGGCTATTAGGAGGAGTTTCTGGACCAAGACATCAACAGTTGTGGATTCAGAATTGCTAGGCATGTTTAAGGAAACAAAATCATCTGGTAGGTGGACTACAAGGACTCTTAAAATATCAGCAATATATTCTGCAGTTCAACAGAGGAATGTTAGAATAGTTTAAAAATCCATCCTTCACAGAACTTAGTACAATGCCTGGTAAGAGTTAGGTATTTAAAAATATTAGCTCCACCCTATCATTGTTAATAATACAGAGAGCACTGCAAATTTTAGGCCTCTCTCCCTAAACTTATTATCGATAGTGAAACATCCCTAACTCAGTCTCTCTGTAAATCTCTGTGGCTTGTTCCTCCTGATGATAAAGGAGAGAGCCCAAGTGCTTAACATCTATAAATTGTAGTGATTTTGTGAAGAAATATGGCATGTAAATATAAAGCATTATTATTATAATAAACCCAGCCAGCTGCAACATTGATGGTACCAGAATCAACTGGGTACTCTTAACACTGGCTCAGAATTAAGTTGCTGCCAGCACCAGTGGGCTTTACAAAGTAGAGGGAGTCACCAAAGTGCCCTTAGGGAGTTAAGAAAGGGTAAAAGGAGCCAGGTCAAGAGGAAACCCTTAGCAAATCT